TGCGCTACGACGCGCACTCTGACAACATCATGGCAGCCTCGCACGACAACCCAATGATGTCCGTTCACATTGTAGTCAATAACTAACATTGCAAGAAGCTACCCCAACATCAAAACAAACAGTTCATAACAATAATAATTACAAAAACAGCTGGCCGCCTCTCTTCTACTGAGAAGTTCCTGTTACGTGCATAGAACAAGCAAAGTGAGAAGAGGCTACCATGTTGTGGAAATTGTCAAGATCTTATTTGAGGCGACAAACAATTTTTTCAGGTTTTCTGAAAACTGCGACGCGTAGCGACAATAAGGTCCTGTTGCCGTCGCTATAAATCGCGTGCACGTCGTTGGGCCTTAAAGTTTCATACTTGCACGAAGCGACCGTCGGTTGGCACGGGAATTTCATTACCTTCGCTTGCCGTCTGCTTATCAGCTGCGACGTCCTCTACACTCACACCGTTCATGAACCCCGCTGTATGCACAGATAAAAAGACAGGGGACGTGCCGCACACACAGATAGAAAGAAAAAACAATACGGCGCGCAGCAAACGGGCGAAGGGAGGAGGCCACGAGCAGAGGGGCGAGGGAATGGCCATAATAATAAAAAGCGGAAGGACGCACAGGTAAGGAGGCGCCAGGTGTGGTTAGTGAAACTGCAGCGGATGAATTTAGGGGGTGCGTTTATTACGTGGGGAAAAATTCTAAATTTTGACGACTGAAGATGCGGGTGGGTTTATTGTGCGAGTGCGTTCATTAGGCGAGTAAATACAGTAATTCATGCCTGAAGGCGTTATTCACTTCAACGTACATTGATTTAAATTTATGCATTTGATTCGTTTCGACCTACGTGAATTAAAAGTCAGTGTCTCAATTCACTTTAGCACACATCGGCTCAGTTTCGATTCACTGAATTCACATTAATTATTCCTCAAGGTACTACAGCATCTCTATGATGCCACTCATTAAGAGGGGAAACTATGCTCAATAGAACTGATTCATGAACAGATGTGAACAATATTTTAACAGCGTTTGTATTCTCACCTTTTGATTCCAAAAAGGAACTACTTTTATGGCAGAAAAAATAATTTATAGCATGCTCTAACGTCACTGTCTAAGTTTGCTTTCTTGCTCAAAGGGAAATTACCATCCGAACAGAAATCCTCAAGATAGTGGTTAGAGCAATAAAACTACTATAATGTTCAAGAACACGTTGTTGCCATTCTGATCAGTGTAAACTATAAAATAGACAAAGCAAGAATTCACAGACCCATTCTGAGGCACAAGTTTGAAAACAGTTTTTGGGTAGATTTCAGGCTTTCACGGGCTGCAACCTTTGTTAATGTCCCTAGACATTCGTGTTCATAACGCCAAACATTATTTCTTCTCAACTGACTCGCCATGCAATGCTCTTACTTGAATATGAGGATGACCACTGTTTATTCACACTGAATGGTGCTCACCTTGCCAATTAGGTCCCGTGCCTCGGCGCTTACGTACGGAGGGAACTGCACCTTGCACTCGCGTATGCGCCGGTACGTCTCGTGCATCGTGGGCGACTCAAAGGGGGGCTTGCCCACCAAGAACTCGTAGATGAGAATGCCGAGGGCCCAGTGGTCCACCTTCTCGTTGTAGGGGGCAGCTTCAATCATCTCAGGTGGCAGGTAATCCAGCGTGCCGCACATTGTGGCCCGCCTGCGGCATAAACGCATGCTTTCACATTTAGGCTAACGCAGCCGCACATTTGTTCTCTCCTTCGTCTTTTGTCTAGCGTTTCCACTCAATGAGTCGATACCAATATGAGGAACATGGCTAAACACATTCCCATCACACTGGGTGCGTGTGCTGACGGCATAGTGGCTGGAGTGCCTGGCGTCTGTCTCCACAGAGTAACGCACTGTAGCTTTGATTACCTGTCCAAGTGCTTAAGCACAGTTTTCCTTTTTGACCAGTTTGTGCACATTTTACTGACGCCATTTCTGTGATAAATTGCCACCAAGCAATTCTCGATAGACTGCTGTACATCCTATCGCAGTGTAAAAGAATTTAACAGTCAGACGAACGCACCTGGATGAAGGTGCATGCACGGACCAGCCGAAGTCTGCAATCTTAATCTCGCCATTAATGCCGACGAGAAGATTTTCCGGCTTGATGTCGCGGTGGATGACGTTTTGTGCATGGCAGACCTTGAGCGCATCGCAGAGCTGGTAGATGTACTGAACACAAGAATAGTGAGAAAAGAGAAACCACATCATAAGGTGAACACTTTAGATAGGAATTTCTTGTGTCACTTTTTAATTGACAATAAAGAAACTGAACCAGGACCCATGTACAAACTCGTTTTTTCCAGGGGCTGTTTGAAGTCTTTAGTATTTTACTTCATTATCTTCCAGTAACTATCAGCCCAGGGATAAGAGACTTTGGCATATCACCCTCCCAAAAGTTCTGCCTACCACAGCATGAAATGACACGTGACACACCCGTCTGCAAATTCACAACCGAAAGGCTCGGCTATGTTTCTTACAGTGCGCTCTCCTTGTCAGTGAAAACGCCTGCCGAAGTAAGCTGCTTGTAGAGTTCGCCCTGAGGCGCATATTCCAGGATCAGATAGACCCTCGTCTCATCGTGGAAACCATTTGAACAGGCACCAGGATGTTCGGGGTGCCTGAAAAACATTTTGGCAACAACAGACAAGACATGCTGCTGAAATGACGAGTGCCCACTGATCTGCCAGCTCAAGCTTTTAACTCTGCTATCGCTCCAAGTTTACGCAGACGTGACATTTCACCCGCATAATTCTTTACAGACTGTAAAACCCCTCTATTGCATTTCATAAAATAAACTACAGAAAAAATAATTACATCGTCTCCCACTAAAGGGAACCTTGTGGTATGCGAAGCAGCACAGGTGTTCACTTGCGTTTCCATTTGTATGGGTCCGTGTAGGGTTCATTTGTGTGTGGAGTTGTGTCGTGTTGGGTTACCGCTTATGTTGCCCCCCCCCCCATTTGTGTGAATTAATGTGTGTGTGTGAGTGCCACAAAGTGAACACCCAGCGCTTCTAGGAGAGGGCAACGGAGCGAGCATGTGCAGCAGTATATGAGCGCACAGCTGTGGCAGAGAGTATAAACAGGAGAAGAGAAACAAAGCGGACAGCAGCACTTAGCCACCTTCTCCTACGTTGCACTCACATGAAGAGGGGGCCCTTGGCGACTGTTCTCTCCCCCACTGTTTATTGCGCCAACTCACCCCTTTTCCTCGAGCACGCGTAAGGAGATACTTGGCGCATGCGCACTAATGGTGGTCATGCTGCATGCTAAGTATGTTGGTATTCTTTCATTGCACCTCCACTGAAACCTAGCCTGTGGCCAGAATCACATTGCCGGTTCATCAGTGTAGCAGCAAGATGCCTCAGCCTGTTGGGCTACCATGGCAAGAGAACTAAGGAACATGGTTCCTACAGGTTCGAATGCATATTATTACATTGATTTGCTTATTAGTCGAATACAGGAGCAGGAGCATATGGCAGCAAAAATTAGGAGCAAATGTCAATAAACCAGCAAATCAAAACCTTTTGAGAGATACAAAAAGCACACGTTCAGCAAGCTTCAAATTCATAAGCCATCAGGCTAAGTTCCACAAAGGCATGAAGAGTATTATCGCAGGTCTTTGTGAAATTCCAGTTGTCTTTGCAGTATGACACTATTGACAGTCTTCAGCAAAGTGTTCCCAACAACACAGGCACGGTCACAGGCTTTAGATGAAGTTAGGGGTTTTACATGTCGAAACCGAGATACGCCATAACAGGGAGAGCCAATCAATTTCGTGAGATTATCCAAAATACTCCTAAATTTAGGTTCACATACATGCCATTTACATATCCATGGCCCTCACCCCTTTCAAGTTCCATCCTTCCTGAAACTAGAAAACCATGGCCAAAAGTCACATCTGTGTTCAAAATATCACCAACATGACCCAGAGACCTACACAGGGGGTGGCACCACAAGACCACTGCCCCCCCAAATTTTTTTTTTCCACCAAGGCACTGAAAGTGAAAAATAACCCTTCAAGAGGGTGCCCCTCCCGAAATAAGTTGGTGGCCCCCCCTTTCACCTCCTGAAAAAAATTCTGGCTATGCGCCGGGTCTGTTTAGCTACCACAGTGGTGTAACAGCTGGGGAAGGAAACAACAATCGCAGCATATTCACTCGAAACTTTAGATAGAGTTCGTTCCCTACTTTTTCTACAAATTATGCCACATACCCAAATTTATGTTCACTGGCTGAGTGAAGAAACTGCTCGCTGCACAGTAGCGGCACTGCCTCAGTGGGAATTAAAAGAGGACCTGCAACAGCCTATCAAGCAGGCTTAGAAAACGCTGCTATCCAGTAATCAAGACTATGATGAACACGTGAGGCAAACGATATAGCTCGGCATGCAGCCGAAATTTAGAACTAACTCACAACGCAGGCTATAAATCATTCCTTTTCTTTGTACAAATGATGCTCTATGCCAAATTTATAGTCACTGGCCGATTTGAGCATTGTTAGCTGCACAGTTACGGAGGTCACCGTAGAAGACAGACCGCGGCCGTGTGCGTGATCACATTGCAAGGTAAGTTGCGTGTTTGAAGAGAAAAAAGAAAATGTGCTCAAGGGTCCCTGATTGGCGTGCCGTAACTTGTTTTCTACTGTGCCAACCCTGATCCTGCTTTGCTTCCACCGTCCTTGTCGAGACAAGAGAAGAGAGAAAGCAATTTAGTGTGCAAGAAAATGCTCGACTTTGCTGATACTTCACGATTCCAAAGAATCTACGGGCGATTGATTCATAAGGGAATGTTTTGTGAAAATGTTTTTGTTAATGCATATTACTTCAAGGAAAAAACTGATTTTTTTCTAAATGTCAATTTTTTGGTTTTCTATCATGGGAAATGTGCACTTTTTTCGCCCAACATTTAGCTGCAGAAAGCTTCCGCCTAGTTTTTTGTTTTTTTATGAAGAGTTACAGGCAAAAATGTGAGACCCCCGATCACCCACGAAACTGAAACTGCGAGCTTCGTCTGCATCATAAGATTAGCTTGTTATGTAGTATTTTCTTCGTTATTTAGCTATGATATCAAGTGCTAACGTAACAGTGCTCTAAAAGCATTGTCCACCCCTCATTTTTATCATAAATCATAAACGTCTAACTAAATAAACATATAACATGTTACATGTGTTTTCGTGCTCAAGCACTGATATGTGAAGCTTGTCAACCATCAAATTTGCTCTGGTTGACGCTGCGTGTCATTTCAATAATGACAGAAGAAGAACATTTGATATTATAAGCAAATTCTGAATCAAGCCTGGTCTCTGCACTGCAAAAGCTTGCCTCAATATTAATTAGCACCTCAGCCTGAAAAACACCGTGGTCTTGTACTGACCATGCAATGTCAGCTACAAAACAAAAATGTAGAGTTGCCACTCGAGCGAGGGCGCACAGCAGTAAAGTCCGCGACAGAAGTGGCTGCAAATATTAAAAATTTCAGGACTCCTGATCATTTTGGAAGAATGCTAACATCATCCTAATACATAAGAAAGGAGATAACAAGGACTTGAAGAATACAGGCTGATCAGCTTGCTCTCCATAGGATACAAGCTATTTACAAAGGTAATTTCTAACAAAATTAAGAAAACATTAAAATTCAATCAACCAAAGGAACAAGCAGGATTTAGAACAGGCTAATCAACAATCAAACACATTCATGCTATCAATCTGCTAAGAGAGAAATGTTCAAAATACAGCCAGCCACTACACATAGCTTTCATAGAATACGAGAGGGCATTTTATGTAGTAGAAATATCAGCAGTTATGCAGACACTGCGGATCAGGGCATCGACGAAGCATATATAAACATCCTGGCAAGAAATCTACATGGATCAACTGCTACAGTAGTGCTTATAAAGAAAGCAACAAATAACAATTAACAAGTGTGTAAGGCAGGGGGACACAATCTCCCAATGATGTTTAACACGGGCTTAAGGGAGGTTTTCAGAGGCCTAGAATGGGAACTGTTACTGGCATAAGTGTTAATGGAGAGTACCTTAGTAAGCCTGCCCTTTGCCGATGACATTGCATTGCTCAGTAACTCAGGGGACGAATCCCAATTCATGATTACGGAGTGAGACACGAGAGCAGAAAGTAGGTCTTAAATTTATCTGCAGAAAATGAAAGTAATGTACAACAATCTCGCAAGAGTGCAGCTCTTCGAGATAGGTAATAGTGCACTTGAATTTGTAAAAGACTATGTCTACTTAGGACAGGTAGTAACAGCGGAGCAGAACCACGAGATTGAAGTAACTAGAAGAATAAAAATGGGATGAAGCCCATTTGGCAAGCACTCTCAAATCATGACAGGTAGTTTGCCACTATACCTCAAGAGAAAGGTATATAACATCTGCACCCTTCCGGCACTTAGCTACAGAGCAGAAACCTGGAGACTTACAATAAGAGTTAAGCTTAAATCGAGGATGACGCAGCGAGCAATGGAAAGGAAAATGGTAGGTGTAACCTTAAGAGACAAGAAGAGAGCAGATTGCATCAGGAAACAAACCGGCGTTAAGGATATTATAGTTGAAATCAAGAAGAGGAAATAGACATGGGCCGGGCACATAGCACGTAGACAGGATAACCGCTTGTCATAAGGGTAACTAACTAGATTCCCAGAAAAGGCAAGTAGGTTAGGGGGAGACATAAGATTAGGGGACAGATGTGATTAAGAAATTTGCGGGTATAGATTGGCAGCAGCAAGCAGAGGACCGAGATTGAGTGGCGGAACATTGGAGAGGCCTTTGTCTTGCAGTGGACGTAGTCAGGCTGATTATGATGATAATGATTATTATCTGGTGAAAGTGATCTGCTTGTTCCCGTCTATTTGTCGACATTCTCAGAACTTACATTCCTGCTATTTTTCCGTACGGGAACAGTCATAACTCTTTTTGCTAATAAATAGTTTTGCAGTAAAACTTGACACAATTCCTTATCAAACTAGTATGCATGCTTTAGTGCCCCATCGCTTGATTGCAGGTTGGGCACCCGTGTAGTGTACAAGTATCCCAAAGGAGTACGGCCACTAGCGGGGGTTCAGTCTTAGCAAGCCGCCGGGCACGCGATAACCGTCGCTGTGGCGAAAACACGGTACTGCTGAAGGTCGTAATACTTGATTGTCGCAGCAACATACAAAAAACCGTACAGAGCCCGTTGCAAGGTTGCAGCGGGAAAGCAAATGGGCTTATCCATGCCACGGGCGAGAAGTACTACACAGGGGTGCCACGAGCTCGTCTCCGTGGGCAAATGTGATTCACGGTGACACCAGGACACAGGGCCCGGTTGCTCAAACGAGGGCCAAAAACTCCGTGCGCATGGCTTCAGATAAAGGCGAGCGTCCTCTGCAGGCGCAAGGCGCTGTTGGTGAAGTCCCGATGAGCCCCAAACAAAACCAGTCGACGGACGAAAAAGAAATGCGTGCTTACCTTATGTCGTCTCGGAGAGGTTCTCTCTCACTCCCGACGCACGTGCGCGAAACGTCCCGAGAGACTCCACGCATGGTGCCACAGTCAACTATCCGCAACCGGGTGAGAGGAGTTAAACGTCCCTCCCCACTCTCCCAACGCGGCACACCGCGGAGGAGCGGAGAGTAATGCCGGGACATGAGAACGCAGAAAGAGGCGACGGACTAGCCTCGATTCCCGCAACGCAATGAACCTTAATGAGCAAACACCGTGCTACAATATTAAGGGGGGACGCGGCTTTGGGATCGCGAAAAATGGCAAAAAAATTTGATTGTTTGAAACTCAAGTTTTCAGTTTCTGGAACCTTTTTCTATCTGGTTCGAAAATACCTACACTGAAAACCGCGCAGATGTGCTTCGGAAAATTTGTTTCACCCACCTAGGAAGGGAAAATTTTTTTGTAAATGGCAAGAAAACGGCGTTTTTCAAAAACTTTTAGCTTCGCGATGCTTGGGCCGGGAGCCGGCTTCTTGGGCTCATCGGAAATAGCATTTCTCTGTGTTTAATTTTCCTGCCTCAGCTGACTCCTTTTTTTAACAACAAGCGAGCAAAAAGCAAATGTTTGAAGGTCGTTTTGAGGATCTTGATTGGCCGTGGCCGCCATGTTGCCTCAGCTCGCATCGCCATTGGCCCAATGCTCGCTCCGGGAGATCGTCGTCTGCTGCTTGTGCGTCGCGAGGACATGACTCTCGAAAATCGCCACTTTGTGACGTGTTAACGGCTTGATAATCACTTGAGATATAACCACGCTTTAGTTACGAGCAGTAAGCGGATGCGCGATCAGGTTACTACGAGCGGGAGCGCAGTCTACAAGCGCCGCGCGTCATCGGAGTCTTCTTTAGCCCTGACTCCGCCGACAGTGAAGCTGCGGGCAGGAACGGCGCGCTAGCGCATTCGCGGCGACGTGCTTCTTCGCAAGCAACGAAGCTGAAAGCGGCGGCACAATCTGATTACTACGAGTGGCCGCACCGGATGCACAATCAGATTACTACGAGCGGGCGCGCGGCGGTCTACGAGTGCGGCGCGTCATCGGAGTCGGCTATAGGCCTAACTCCGCTGACAGCGAGACTGCGGGCAGAAACGACGCCCAAGCGCACTCTTGGAGACATGCTTTTTCGCAAGGAATGTACCCACAATCACTCGCTAGCTCCTCTGAATCACGTACGGGCATTTACGCATCGGCCGCGGGACAACGCAGTCAAGCTCGTCCCCCCCCCCCCAACCCTTCACTGCCAAGGGTCGCTCAGAACAGCGGCTAGCAATTTCGCGCGTCGTCATTCGAAAATGAGATGCCAAGTGCAGTGCGTGCCGACTTTTTAGTCTTCGTAGTTACACATTTCGCGCATCCTCATCGAACGCCGCCGGCAAGTGCATCACGTGCCGGCTGCACTGTCCACGCGGCCGCGCACCCCACGATCAAATGGAGTGCTGTCAATAAGCTTTTGTGATGAAGTTCAGACGTGCATGGAGGCGTGCTTGATATCGCCATGAACGTCCATGAATGTTCCGAGGTTAAAGAATTGCTGTAGATTAGAGTTTCCGCGACCGGCTGTATGATGATGCGTTTTACAGCAAGAGCGGCGAAAGAGCATGTCTGAATCAGGGGCACGAATTTTTATATGCCTATTTTGTGTCATTAATTATTGTGCTAGAAATCCCCGTGCCACCAGTCCTTCTGCCCATAATTTTGTTATTGAGAAAGAAGGCGTAGGCCGTCATGATGTGATCCTTATTTCTGATGCAATAAGCCTCTCTCCAAATAAAGAAAAGTTCAGTGAATATTTGTAATCAAGTACCTAATCACACTAATTACAATTTCAGCACAAAAAGTATGTGTAATAATTTCAGTATATGGTTTTATTTAATTGACAATCTTTTGTGTCATACCTATCACACCACTGCTTCATGCAAAGAACTTGGTTTGAAATCCATACTTGTTCTTTGTAAATCATGAAAAGGAGTAAATTGTGAAAAGAAGTCAAATATCTCAAAACAAACCTGAGATCACAATTTTTAGGTGTCTTAGAGACGTAAAGAAAGTTGAAACTTTAAGCGCAGCTTTCTCAATACTGTTTTTTTTTGACATTATGCTAAGCTCCCCCTCCACATGGTTCAATGAAGAAATAATTTGTTTCTCGTAAAATATTTGTGGTATCACTTCAAATTTTTTTTGAAAGCTTTGTGAGGTCATTGTTAGTGTCGGTGCCAATTTCATCAATATTCAACGAGAAACAAAAAGTTCATTGAAAAACGCCTGTCGAAAACTTCGACAGGCTTTTTCTCACAAGTGTATTTTGGACATTGTGCATTGCTCGTGGAAAAATTAGCACGGGAACGATTGGACCGATTTTGATTCTGTTTTTTCCCCTGAATTCCTGAACACTGCTTGTGGGTACAGCAATCTTGACTTTCTGTTTTATGGCCCTGTTATTTTTCTAGACGTTGATTTGTTCCTGCCACTGTTCTGACAATGTATGTCGGCAGCCATGATGATCTCTAAAAAAAGAGTACTTATAAAAACTTCTGAGAGTGTCATACCCTGTAGCTTTCTTTTGAGTAAAGATCAACACCATTCGCAGCTTCCTGGCATGTTTTCATGCCAGGAAAGGCCAGCAGCTTCCTGGCCTTTTCACGAGCAGACCATGTATTTGTATCGTGCAGCATTGTGTAACTTGAGAACTGCTGAAGCTATCATGATGAAACTGCATATTTCCCAATTCGAGACACCTATGAGTATGCATGCCAAATTTCGTTGCTGTAGGTCAATAAACCAAAGGTTTTTTCAATGCCAACTCCCCCCTTAAATATGGCTGCCTGTTACACTTGTGTGCCTTTAGTACTAGTAGATAATTTCTGGGTATTTATTCAATAAGAATTTTTTCAAAATATTCACCAGATCTCATTTGTTTTGGTTCACTGCACAGGCTAAAGCTTTTTTTATGTCCCTACAAAAATAATATTCTGAGTTACAAGTAAAACTTGATTTACAAGTATTGGTGTAAGGCCTACCTTTAAAAAATCTTTTTAATTATAAAAAGGTTACAAAAAATGGGATTGTTTATAATGCTCACATGTGCCTAAAATGGTGTGCTTTATATTGCAGACTAATATTCTGTAATGATTATTGCCTTAAAAAACATTTTTGACTCTTGGCCTCGTACCTTAACAACGCAGGCGAGGAAAACAGATATCTGCCGTAAGCTGTCATATTTAGAGATAAAAAGAAAAACAGTGGCGCGGTCATCGCTGTTACGGAAGAACGTACATTGGATGGCGTAACAAGCCTGCCAACGTCTCATTGTGTATGATAGCCGCACTACATTCAGCGTCAAAAATTAAGCTCACCTGAGATGAGACTGGATCTCAATCTCCCGTCGAAGTTGATGCTCCATTCCGCTCTTCTGAAGCTGAGACTTGAACATGACCTGAGCAAAGAGCATCACGCTCAGTTTGGTTCTCATTCGATGGACTTTACGAAACAACAGTGGTCATATGCACACAACAGTGCAGTAAAATTCGACAATACTGTACGTCTCGAGATGAGCCGATCTGTCATTTACACAAGTGTCACCAAGTAATAGCGATTGCCGCTGCTCATGCACCTTTGAGAATACCGAAGCGCCAGCAATCATTTCTATGTTCACAGGTTTTACAACTCCATTTTGTGATGTTCATCTTATGAGATCAAATGTGCTTCTTTCACTATATATAGAATAGGGGAAAACATCAAAGAAGCTTTGATTGATTTGATTGATTTGTGGGTTTTAACGTCTCAAAACAACTATTTGATTATGAGAGACGCCGTAGTAGAGGGCTCCGGAAATTTTGACCACCTGAGATTCTTTAACGTGCACCCAAATCTGAGTACACGGGTCTACAACATTTCCGCCTCCATCCGAAATGCAGCCACTTCAACCGTGATTTGAACTCGCGACCTGCGGGTCAGCAGCCGAGTACCTTAGCCACTAGACCACCGTAGCGGGGCATCAAAGAAGCTTTATTCCACTAAGTCAGTAGTTACTGCTTGACGTTATAATTATAATAATACAAGGTGATAGATAACGATGCCAAAGAAAGCAAATGAGATAGGCTTGTGTGAATGATAGTAGTGTATTCAAATTCAAATTATTGAACAATTAATTTCAACGTAGTCGCAATGAACCAATAAATGTATAGTATATTATTCCGCACGTAACTGCCTTTAAAAGCAACTTTTCTGTAGTGTAATAATGCTAAGCCAAAAAAGTACCTGTCCAGGAGAAATCCGCTCGGCCGCGAAGCCCCCCTCCCCTCAAATTTAAAGTGCCCCGCAACATTTCTTGAGCATGGTCAGAAAATGCTGCCAATCAGCACTCGAGGCTAACGAGAACACGCAAGCCAAATATTATAGCGCAGTACACGGCCTTGAATTCACAATAAATTCTCAAATTCAGCTAAAACTGCTCTCTTCTCTCAGCAAATGATACCACGAGCTCAACAATCACTCGTCACAACCATTGTATCAGCCACTGGCTGATTTGAGCATGGTGCGCTCAGTCATTACTAGGGGCTGCTGCAGACAGCCGCCACTTGTCTACATGAACGTGCGGGATAACATTGAAAAGTTGCGTATCCGAAGAAAAGAAAAAAAAGAGCGTGATCTTCTTTCCCAGTGCCATCCCTCCTTGCTTAGCTTCCTCCTCTTTTGTCAGGACGAGAGAAGAGAATGCAACTGCAGTGGGAAACAAATCTTTGCAACTCCGCTTGTACTGGACAAATTCTAAAAATTTTTGCTGTGGTGAATTCACGAGGCAATAAGCTTCGTTACTGAATCCATTCCATGGCTACTTGAACAAGTGTTGCAAGGCACTTTTCAATAAGAATATTACCCTCAAATCAATTTATCATTTAATTAAGCTTAAAAGCTTGTTATGACTGCTTATATGCTCGTAAGTAAATAAATTTTTAAATCTTACGTATTTTACAGGTCATCACTCACACCCTACTGAAAGTTACATCCTGCTACTACTCAAAGTTATTTTGACATTCTTTGAACAAAAGAAATATTGCATTTGCATAGAGGTCCTATTTCAATTTTGAAGAAATAATGTACAGGTTAGTTAGGTGACGATAAATATGTCCATTTTTCTTTGTATATCACATATACTATTCGAATTCTCTTCAAAATTATTCTACTAAGATCACTATTCACTTTGAACCTAGAATTTACTACTCGCACAAGCCTAACATGAAATGTTATTAGAAATAATTGAAATGTAGATGTGGAGAAAGAAAAGCAGATGAAGAGATAACTCTCCACGAGCAGGGACCAAACCTGTGACTTTAGAATAATGCATCTGATGCTCTACCTAATGAGCTACATCAGCGGTCATCCCTCCGTCCACTTTATAGGGTGTGTGCGTGCATTTAAACACGAGAGTGTCAGTCAGCGCAGTCAGCAGGTATTACAGCAAGCGTGGAATATTTTTTGCCTGTTGGCATCACATATCATGTTATCTTACTACATTATGTTAGTAAATCGTATTGTTCATTGCAAAAGCTGTCACGGTCACCTGAGCGTTATAATATATGCAAATGAGTTTTTATGCAGCTTGCACTGTACTTTTACACAAAATAACCATACGTTACCACTGCTCATGTAAACGTGGTAGCATAGCCCTAATGAAAGCCTGTCAAGGCCACTATCAACCATTTTTAGCTTTCTTTAGCAACCTAGCAGATCCAGCAGTGTAAATCAGCAGTTTTCAAAATATCCATGAAGTATCAAAAGTAGGCACATCACACAGAGACTAGTTATACTCTTTACAGACTTCTCAACGATCAGTTCCCTGAAGCGCTGGTCATTCTCAGCATTCTCCCATGCACCAGATCGTAGCACTCATGACACATCCCCCGCACCGAACCACAGCACTTGCTTTTAAAGGAGCCCTGAAACACTTTTTAAAGTAACCATGGAACGAATTCAGAGGAAATGTTTATTGCCTCACAAATTCAACGCCAGAAAATTTCTAAGAATCGGTCCAGTGCGAGTGGAGTTACAAAAATTTGCTGTATGCTACAATTACATTATCTCTCCTCTCGTCCCGACAAAAGCGCTACAAGCTAAGCCCAGAGGGATGGACAAGGCAAAAAAATATGTCACGCGACGCCTCGTGACCTTGAGGAATTTTTTAATTTCTTTTTTTGAATTTGCGGCTTTTTCAGTGTGATCGCGCAGCATATCGCGACGATCTCTGTAACAACCGAGTGTACCACGTTTAAATCAGCTAATGGCTGATAGGTGGGCTTACTACGAGTGATTTTTGAACATCTTCCGTCAATTGACGACAGAAAAGAAAGCAATTTTTAGCTGACCTTGATAATTCACTGTGATTTCCAGGCCATATGTTGCGCCATAATATTTGGCTCAAGTGTTGTCAGGAGCCTCTACTACTGATCGGCAGTGTTTTATGAGCATGCCCAAAAAGTGTTGCAGGGCCCCTTTAATAATAAATCATTTGTACGGTTTCGCACCAAAATTACAATAATGTTGTGTGACATTAGGAACGAATGAGGAACCATCAGACGGGCGATGGAGACAACGAAGGTGATCTCACTTGTGTTGTTGTCCCGCCATTTTGCCTGCAGCTTCCCGAAATTCTACCTTTATATTTTGTAAATATATATATATATATATATCTTTCATTCATACTCTCAACCCCGCGACATTTGGCGGAGATGTGGGCAACAACATGACATGAGTAAACTTCGAAGTGGCCAAGGTTTGGTTTTTTCCACCATGGCAAGCCAGGGGCCCGCTCCTGCCGAAGCAACCACAACAACACAAGCGTGATCGCCTACGTCGTGTGTGATGGTTTCTCATTCATTCACGATGTGTAGCATATACCCCCCCCCCCGCCCCATTATGAGTGACTCCAAAGACGAGAGCCCCACAAATTTATACCATCTAATGTTCCTCTTAACATGGAGCGAGACTTAGAGAGTTTTATTATTTGACTGTACAGCAGATTTTAAAAAGATATGGCTATAAATTCTGCAAAAAATTTTTAAAATACACGCGGGTTACATTACAACCCAAAAATATTTTTAAATTGTAGATGGTGTTCTGTATACTTTTTTAGTTTTTCTTGTTCTTCTTGTTAATATACACTACCTGCAGATCACTGCAATTTCGCACAAGGGCAGCTATCGAAGGTTTATTGAAGTGGAACTAAAATTGCAAGCAGACAACGAAAACTGCTTTTTTAGACTTGTCACTGTATCACAGTTGCCACATATGAAGGTTATCTTTTATAATAAAAAATATATAAATGCAGTGCCTAGGCTTCAGTTTTAGTTATGTAAGTACCGCTAAGTAACATGTGGGAGAATCTTTGTTTATGTCATGAAGCTCCCCAGAAAAAGGTACTCAAACTCGGAGACAACGTAGAGGTACACCCACATTTTCTGCCACACTTTCAAAGAACAAGGCCCAAAAATGATTTCTGGAACCGCGAGCACCCAAGGGTGACAAATTTTCTGAGAGATAAAAAAATTCTGCGTCAGGCGATTGAGAAATCTCAAAATCAAGTTTTCCGACAAAACGAAGTCTAGCTCAACCTTAATGTGCATAGATGTCACACGTTGCACGAGTCTTTAGCATTTCGCCTCCGTTGAAATGCAACCACTGCAGCTAACATCGAACCACCGACTTTCGAGTCGGCAGCTGAGCAGTGCAACCACCATACCACCCCAGCGGACGACCACTTTCATTTGAAGCGGAAGCTGTTATGAGATCACAACTCGGGTCACGGGTGGTGCCGTAGTTCTTTGTTCGCCTCTCCCGCCGGTGTCCGTAACCACTTCGCAGGAAAAAAGACCAAAAAATCACAGCATATCCACGGGGTGAATGATGACGAGTGGGCAAAGCTCCGGAGAGTATCATCAGTAAAGCCGTGAATTTTCCGTGTGTAATTCGCCCAGTCGATCATGATATAAGTACATCGTGAGAAACACTGTGTGTGTATATATAGAAATCAACTTTTATTTGTTCTTAGAGACAATGAATGGCTTGCGATGTCCCTTCATTATGATGGCTTTATGGTCCTTGAAATGAAGAGTGACCGGTTCCTGTATAGAAACTGCTCACCTACCTCGCGAGTTCACACATTAGAATTCTACCTGCGAGCAAGCGCCGGAGCAACCTTGAGCGATTTACGCTCCGCAGCCTTGTCCATCAAAATGACTACGAGCGTGTAGGCATTGCGCCATGTGGCTCATGATGCAGACAGAAATTAGGTGCCTTCTTTCTTCTTCTAGAATCACTCAACGACTCTGAGCGCGCGCCAACAGCGAAAAAAATTCATCAAAAAGCTCCCCCCCTAGCGTACGTCGCCGAACAAATGCACTCCACCAATGATACGTTCCCCATGTGACAGAATTCATA